ATATATATATATATATATATATATATATATATATATATATATATATACACACAGGTAGAGACATGAATGCACCCCCATACCATCAGAGAGGCAGGCATTTGGTCTCTCTTGTCAAGTTATTCCCATTGAAGCTCACTGAGATGGACCAGTATAAATAAAGGCTGAATGAAAGTGAAGTGTGTGCTGAACACAAGCCAGATGGTTCCTTTCCTCTTTCGTACAACAGACATAACGTCTGTGGTTTCAGCGATGAATTTCAAAGTTAAGGTTTTCACTTGGTTTCACTTTGATTTTTAATGAGCAGACTGGATTGTGTTCACATATGGCTTCTGTTTTTGCATGATAGAGCTTTAACCAGTATTTGTGGATGCCACAGTGTTTCCAGGGAGTGTTCAGGAACCCGTAAGTGAGCTCCAGAAAAGAACAAGAAGCCGTTTTAAACCCAGAGGCCCCTGAGAGCCTGAAGAACACAATCCTGACGATCAGTCCTTTCAGCTCAGAGATTTATCTTGTTTTATTTGTATTGATCGTGAACAGTAGATGGCGGGATATTATTTGTTCCTGGTGGACTTCAGCCCAACTTACTCCTTAGTTTAAAGAGATGTGTCTCTCATTAAAGGCCAATCTTTAAGCTTCAACAACTGCTGAGGTGTAAACAGGTTCTCCGGACGGTCACAGCTGATCTGGTCACGTGCACTTGTTTACATTTTCACGGAGCTCGCGGAGACAGACTCACGGTGTCGCAACACGGTGTCTATTGTAATGTCATTGGTAAAAATAAAAAATAAAAATCTCGATGAAATGGCGACAACAGTGAAAAAACAGTTTTCGTAGTTTCCCCAAATGTTTATTATGTCGAAGTTAATATTGTTCTAGCTTTAAGTATTTAGATCTTACGAACACGCCTAAAACGTACCACCCTGACACTAAAAACATTTTAAACCAGAAGCCCTTGTAGCCACACGAACACAAGGACCGATCCCACCTCCAGGAGACTCTCCTCTTCCACACCTGTTCACAAGGACCGATCCCACCTCCAGGAGACTCTCCTCTTCCACACCTGTTCACAAGGACCGATCCCACGTCCAGGAGACTCTCCTCTTCCACACCTGTTCACAGTCGGTGTTTACTAGCATTAGCATTAGCATTAGCCCTTGGCCACTTATCGTTGGTCTCGCGCCGCGTCATGACAGAAAATAAAGCGCGGGCTTGTTTTATCACGACAAGCTGAGACGTTACCTTGTTGTCAGCATGTGGATTTGAGAGCCGTCACTTCTTTCACGAGGATTTGTGTGTTATCCCACCCTGTTGTCTCTTCTCAGCCTCTTTTCTTTGTGCCGCAGCTGCCGCGGTGCATGCTGGGATGACGTGATGACGTCACGTCATGTTCATGACGTTCAGTTTGAGCGGACGGATTCCCATTAAAAATGTTAATTTGGTCTTAATAACCATTTCCAACACATGCTTAATAACATGCTTGTGATATTCTGTGATAATTAAATCAAAATGACATGTCAACATGTTGAAGAAACTGGTTCAGACAAACTGGTTCGTTTTTGTTATAGTGGATGATTGAGTTTACAAAACCTTCTAAAAAAGTTAAATCTGGTCCTCTGGACATTCAAAAAGACAAAACAAAAAAAATGTAGAAACGTTTCGTCTTCCATCCGAAAGATATTATTATTATTATTTTTATCCGAAATATTATAGGCAGAAACATGGGTGTGCTATGGGGTCTCCAGTTTCTCCTATTGTTGCCAACCTGTACATGGAGGAGGTAGAAAAGAGAGCCTTGACGTCCTTTTCAGGGACACCACCAAGTCATTGGTTCAGGTATGTTGACGACACCTGGGTTAAAATCAAATCTCAGGAAGTCCAACATTTTACTGACCAAATCAACTCTGTGGATAAATACATCAAGTTCACACGAGAAGATGTAAAAAATGACAAGTTGGCTTTCTTGGACTGTGAGGTCTCAGTCTCTGATAGAGGACATTTGCAAACCGAGGTGTACCACAAACCCACCCACACAGACCAGTATTTGCAGTTTGACTCCCATCACCCTTTGGAGCACAAGTTAGGAGTCATCAGGACTCTATATCACAGAGCAGACAGCGTCCCCACTAGCTCAGGAGCCAGGCAGAAGGAGAAATCCCACACAAGACAGGCTCTAGAGCAATGTGGATATCCTAACTGGGCCTTCCTGAAAGCAGAGAAGAAACCCAAACAGGACTCCAGTCAGCCAACAGGTGAAAAGGAGGAACCCAGACCCAGACCAGTGGTCATTCCATATGTTGAGGGAGTATCAGAGAAACTGAGACGTTTATTTTCTAAACATAACGTCCCAGTGGCTTTTAAACCCCAAAATACATTAAAGACTGGTTCATCCCAAAGATCCAGTCCCCCGGCACAAACAGAGTAATATTGTGTATGTTGTTCAGGGTCAGGAGGGTGATCAGTCTTACATCAGGGAAACTAAACAGCCACTGGCCAAAAGGATGGACCAGCACAGAAGATCAACATCATCAGGCCAGGACTCTGCGGTCTACACTCATCTCCAGGCCAGCGGTCACTCTTTCAGGGATGAAGATGTTCACATCCTGGA